TGTATGTCTGTCCCTATGATGACTCCAAGCTTTAGACCTCACTGGCATCCTTTCCTGTCTACTTTATTCCTACACACATAATAGTCGCTGTGAGGATTTTTATGTCTTTAACCTTGGAGATCATTTGCAAAATGACTTGGATGTAACTCTCACAGGTATGTTCCAAAGAGCCTACCCAGTACATTCTAAAATCTGTTTCTTCAGGGACAATCACTTACTTATATACTTACATACTAACTCTGATAATTTCAACTCTTAAATATTTATTAAATGTATGCCTTCCTGTCTCTGTTTATGATATATAATATATTGATAAATATAATTATAATTATATAATATACAATATATTTATATATAATTTATAATTAATATAGATAAAATATATTATTTTTTGTTCTTGTTCTTGGAAAAAGGAAGTAGTGTGCATCTCACTGCTTATAGGTCTCTGGAGGTGGAATTTGCTTTCACTCTCTCTCTTACCCATAATGATATACAGATGAGCCTCATCTGTGGGAAAGGGGACAATTTTCTTCTGGAAGGTTAGGGTTTCTAGGACTTTTCTTCTAATCGACATGTTTGTTCTCTTTTATGTTCACTGTTGATAATAATGTACCTTTCTCAAAGTTCACACAAAAACTGGACTTTTAGGCTATGATTAACATTGATTGAGCTTGGAGACTTGAGTATATTAGGGCTGGAATATGCCAACTCCCTAAAACAGCAACCACACTTCTCCTGATTTAGGCCTGCATGTGAAATTGTTATGTTGCAGTCTATTTTATAATGGAATAGCTGAAGTTTTTATTTCTCCTTCCCTCTGGCTGTATTTTCCTTTGTTGAGAAACCTAATGCATACTTCCCAATATCAATCCTTTAACATCACACAAAATCTCTTTGGCTCAGCAAAGTCTTTAAATTAAACAAAAGTTAACACGATTGGAATGATTCAGTTATGCCAACGGCCTACTGACTAATGTTTTTTAATATTTGGATTTGACTGTAATTAAGTTTTCCAAGAACTCTATCTTTGTTCTGATTTTAATAATGTTTCTAAATGACCCTTCATGTTTATATTGCAGTGTTTTGTGTTCTTAAAAAGAATTGCAGTCACATACCAATTTTCAAAATGATAAGTACTAGCCAGAATGGTATGTTGTAAAATATGGTATAACAGCTAAGAATAGAATAGGAGACAACGATTTAAAGAAATATTCTAATGCCTTATGTGTTTGCTGCCTTAAAATCATTCTTTTCTGTGTTGAGTGTTAGAATATGTATGAGGACTGTACATGAACAGAGTTTTTTAAACTCTAAGCCACACCATGGTGGGTTGTACCAGCAGTTCCTTCCATCTTGACAAAATATCAAAAAATATTAGAATATATTTTATCTCACAAGGTTGAGCATTGAGAGCTAGAATCTGGGCTTTGATGTCCTTTGTGGTTTTATGCCATCTTCCACTGCAGTATGTCCGTATTACAGAAATCCATAATCACGGTGTAGCTGATAACACTTCCTTTTGTGTGAGTTTCTGGTTCTTCTGTACCTCAAGCACTGTGTACGCAGGTGAGTAGGATACTCTTGGCCTGAGGGAATAGGAATTATGTTCAGAGATGATGATGCACAGCCAAATCAATGTGAGGCACTGTTAGAGGTACCTGCCATCCTTTTCAGGCTGCCTGACAGGCGTCTCAGCTTAGCTCTTCAGGTTCAACTCTTAGGACTCAGATAGCTTAAGGCTGTGGTTTTCAACCTGAGGGGTGTGACTCATTTGAGATATCCTGTATATTATTTACATCATTATTTATAACAGTCACAGAATTAATTATGAAGTAGCAAGAAAATAATTTTATGGTTGGGTGTCACCACAATATGAGGAATTATATTAAAGGGTTGCATATTAAGAAGGTTGAGAACCACTGACCTAATTTTAATATCTGGTAGTTAAACTAGCCTTGAATATTCATTTATTTCATCTAAGTCCTTCCTTTTATCCCGTGTCATGAATATGTTCTATAGAGAAGGGACATGGAAGTAGAGGGAAAGATTGGGCTGCTTGCTTCAGAGTGACAATGGATCCCCCAAACTCGATATGTTTAGGTAAGAACAAGTACCAACAACTGATCATAAGGGCCAAGAATATGGTAGGGGGATATGGAATATGCAGACTGAATAACTAGGACATTTTACAGATTAGCAAGAAGTCAACTTTGATCAGAAGGTAGATATTAATGATCTACACATGTGGATTAATTATAATTAATAATCCACACATGTGCATTCAAGCGATATAGCACAGTAGGTAAAGAATTGTTGGCAGAAGTAGAAAATACAGCTTCCCTTGGAGACTAGAATTCCATTGCCCATTAAAGACCTAGGCTGCCACATTGCAGATTGTTTTTTAATTGCAAAAGTTTTTTCTGAACACTTGCAATATTTAAAAGCAACATTCAGCCATATTCCACCAAGTTTTGATTATATAGAGAGATCTGTTTAATATCTAGATGTAATCCTGATGGCTATCACAGTTTCACACTGGCAGAGGTGTGAGTGGACCACACTAGGAACTCCAAGACTCTGGCCAAACATTATTCATGTGTTTCCTAGATCTCAAATTGTGCTTCATTCTCATTGTGTACAGGGAATTAATTCTATTCTGACTTAAGGTAAAAACTACATTAAACAGAGAAAACATAATTTTGTTTACCTTAGACTAACACTATAGTCCATAAGAGTATGGTGAGATTACTTGCAAAATTAAATGAAAAAAATTTACAAAAATCTAAAGACAAAGTATTACAATGTTTTATTTTCTTGTGTGTGCACAGTCTATGTGTGTGTATGAGATGAGTGTGTGTATGTTTGCATATGTGAATGGAGGTTCACACATGTCTTGGTATACTTGTAGAGGTCAGAGAGTACCTTGGGGTTTGGCTAGAAGCAGGTCCTTCTTGTTATTAGCTGTCATGACCTATAAGGCTGGTCAGCTTACATCTGAACTTTGTGGGTTTACTGCTCTCTGTTTCCCACCTCAATGTAGGAATACCATGGTCATTGCAATCGCCCTATGCTGTATGAAGGTTTTGACTCAGGTCATCCTGCTTGTGTGGATGCTTTACATGCTGAGCCATCTCCCTAACCCCCAATTTTTATTTTCTTATTTGTTAAATGTTCTATTCTGTCAAACCTGCTGAGTGGAAACATTTGAAGACTTTGCCACAGTCAGCCCATGATCTGGTCAAGACTATAATGGGGATACCCACTGAAACAGTTTACCTGAGTTAATGGGAACTCACTAACTCTAGCTGAACAGGGAAAGACCCAGCATAGGACCAAACTAGATCTTCAGAATGTGGGTGACAGTTGTATGACTAGGGAGGACTGTGGAGCTACTGGCAGTGGCACCAGGATTTATCCCTATTGCTTGTACTGGCTTTTTGGAAACCCATTCTCTTTGGATAGATACCTTGCTCAACCTAGATATAGTAAGGAAGGCCTTGGATCTTCCTCAAAGCAATATGCCTTATCATCTCTGAGGAGTGGATGAGGGTGAGGTGGGGGTAAGACAGAAGGAATGGGAGCAGGAGAGGGAGTGGGAACAGGGGTTAGTATGTAAAATGAAAAAAAGATAATTTGTTTTCTTCTTTTTTTTTTTTTTTTCGAGACAGGGTTTCTTTGTAGCTTTGGTGCCGGTCCCGGAACTAGCTCTTGTAGACCAGGCTGGCCTCGAACTCACAGAGATCCGCCTGCCTCTGCCTCCCGAGTGCTGGGATTAAAGGCGTGCACCACCACTTCTTGGCTGTTTTCTTCTTTTAAAAAAATAAAATAAAATAAATCAGATTTAAAAAAAATAAAAATGTTTCTGTCTTTGTGGGCTGTCATCAATGATACAATCCAAGGCAGATGGCTGCAGTCTCTCTTCATTATCTGACCCATTCATTCCCTTCACCAAGTAGGTTCTGAGTAGTCCTGACAGTGAAGCACCCACACATAACACACACACACACACACACACACACACACACACACACACACACTCACACTGCTAATTGACTTCACTGAAGGGAAACATGGTTTTATAGGAACAACCTCAGTTTAAGAGAGTAATGGCACATCTTCCAGAGGCCAGCATTGATCTGGACAGTATTTATATTCAAGGGTATAGTTTTCAGTTTCAGATCCCTTACTGAGTTAGAGCCCTCCTTCCCACAGTGACAGGCATGGCTTCAGAGAATTGCGTAGAAATGATTCTCAGTTCCAGCTGCAACTGTCCTGAGGGATTTATGATGCCGTAGAATGGAAAGAGAGGACAAACATCAGTGTCTGCTCGGACTCACTTATGAGTCTGCTCTTTCTTCCGGGTGCCATATTTAAACCCTAACTGCCTCGGCTGGCCTTGTCGTATCCTCTCTCTTCTTGCCTTCCTTTAAAGATTTGATTAAATTATCAGCAAAAAGTACTTGATGCTGGCAAGTAAGTGCATTGTAATACTGGCTGCCCTGCTAAGGTCACCTCCTCTTTGTGTTATGTTTCAGAAATTTTGACTGTAATTAGAGATAAACTTGCAGTAGAAGTCTGTTGATAGTTATGATAGTAGAAATGCTTAGCTACTGCTGTCCTGGGCTCCACTGCAACAGCTCACAGCTCTTAGAAGATTTTGGCCCCAGAACTGCACTAGGATATAGACTCTTGGGTCCTTACCATTTTGCACATGAAGGAACTGAGGTCCTAAGGTCCAAAACACTAGTTCAGCAGATCATTTAAGAAGTGGTAGTTCTGGGTGCATACATTCTTGGCAATGTCGTGTTGGTGACTCATTGAAGGGGTATATAGTATATATCCATGAAGATAGCTCCAGTGTGGATACACAACACACGTCAGTAAAAGTGGTAGAAGGGTTTTCCAACACTGGCTCTTATGTTTTCGGGGAAAAATTATAAATATAATGTTCTCTCTGACAACGTGGTGCTCTACAAATGGTCTTGCTTTCTTCCTTTCAGCCTGTGAGGTGGAAGCGGGGAAAGTGTACCAGGTCTCCTCGGAAGAGCACATGCAGCCGTTCAAGGAGAATATGGAGCAGTTCATCAGTCAAGGTAAACTGCAGTGATGTGTCTGCCCGCCTTAGTCGATGTGTAGGGATCTGGTTCAATGAATGTTTAAACACGACAATCTTGGCATTGTTGAGAAAGCAACAACTCCCCAAATATCCAAACAAACAAGACTTGGGTTAATCATCTCACAGGCGTAAGAGGCTAGTATTTGCTAACTATGCTGGTCTTCGTTGTTACTGGAGGGTGTTCTGTGAACAACACACTCTTGGTTTAAATAGTCTGTTTTATGAAGACATTATAACTTTGTGCTTTTATGTTAAAGATTAGACATTTTGTGAAGTGTTTTTCTTTCTTCGTAATTGTTCTCTGCTGATGTCTTCAGTGATGCAGAATGAACTGAGGCCCTTGCAGACATGTTAGACAAATGCTCTACTACTGAGCGACATCACCAACATTTAACTCTGCATATGACCTCAGTTCAATCTGGTATTTATTTTCTTTGTCAAAACATTGTACCCAAAGAACAAAGTCTATTGGTGTCTTTTAAATCTTCAGGATACCATCTGCTATTTTTGTGGGGTGAATTAATACCTCTAGATAATTGATAAGTTTTTTTCCCAGAGAGCTTTTTAACTATAAATATTATCTCAATAATACTTCCTACATTCTGGAGACATAAGCAGGATGGAAAAATTCAAAAGATACTAAATAAACTTGTTTCTTTTTTTTTTTAATTTGGTCACACTGTTTGAAGTCATTGAAACTTACAATTATATCAAAGCATTTACTATTCAAAACATTTCAGGCCTGGAATGCAACATCTCTTCTGAAGATCAGATTTATATCATACCATTCTCTGGGAAGGATTTTGCTCCTTAAGGAATTCTCCTAGAGGCAAACGTGGTATGAGAAAGAGGCCAAATAACACTTGGAAGCCTGGGTCTGTTCTCTCTGTACTTGACTGTGGCTTTCATAGTTTGGTCAATGGTGATGACTTCTAAGGAATGAGTCATGACACCTTTTAATCGACATAAGCACAGACTCCATTAGATGGAAAAATACTACCTTTAACATAACCAGGCAGAATGAGAAAACTGTTGAGAATCTTGAATCAAAGTGATTATCATTCTCAGAGTCAACTCTATATAAACGTAGGCAGAAATCTTCATTCCGAATGTGTTCCTCTACCAAAAATCATAGCCTTGTGGTTAGATATTAGAGAACCCTGGTATCTCATTCCCTTAGAGAACCCTGGTATCTCATTCCCTTAGCGATGAAAAGACTGAGTCCTGGTTTTTCCACCTGGTAGAATTTCAAGATCAAGAATGTGTCACTTAAAAAGATGATGCCTGACTGTAGAAGATTATATAGGTAAAAGTGTCTAGCAGTCTTTTGTGGCTTAGTAAGAAGTAGGAAGTTCTTGGATTTTTTTCTTTTCTTTTTTTTTTTTTTTTTGTTTTTTTGTTTTTCAAGACAGGGTTTCTCAGTGTGGCCCTGACTATCTTGGAACTCACTCTGTAGACTAGGTTGGCCTCAAACTCCGGAGATCCACCATCCTCTGCCTCCCAAGTGTTGAGATTAAAAGCATGCACCACCACTGCCCAAGAAGTAAGACTTCTTATTTCTAGAACTTATCTAAAACAAAGGCACACCTTTTGACAGATTTCATATGTAAAATGTTGGCAAGAGCACACATTGTACATGATTTCTTACACATAGTATAAATTTGTTATAAATTATGCCTGATTTATTGTATATAATGTTATCACATTATAGATGATTTATTATATAATATTGTTAATTTCTATTTAATAGGCAGAAATTGAATTTTTATGACTGACCTTCCTTAGTCATTAAAAAACATGAATAAAAAAAACAAGCTACTGAAAATTTAGGAATTGGGTTCCCAAAACACAAAAGAACACCATAAATAGTTTTCTTTGGTAATCATCTATGACTCAAGGCATAGACAAAGCCTACAGGATTTGTTTAGTAGTTTACACATGGAGAAGTCAGGATTTCCTAGTCAGGCTAAGTGAATATCTCTACACTTTAATGACAATTCAAGAGCATCTTTTAACTTGTTTCTTATGAGTTGAAGTTATTAGAAGTCATACACTTCTAGGTTAAATAAAAGCCTTTTTATAATGATAATAAAATATTTAGACTTTGGCAGGCATCACCTTCTGTCATTAGGTTAAACAGGTTAAACCTTTTTTTAGTTTTCTTTGTGGTATTTTATATTGTCTTTTTTTACTTATCCCTGACCCTGTTCAAATGTTATAGGATTATCTGTTCATTATAAAAATGAAGGGATCAGAGGATATTGTTTAGTGGTTGAGCACATGCTAAATATATTTGAGCCTCTGAGTTCAATCCCTACCACAAAATTTCAATGTGTCCGGCACATCCAGCTATTTATTGTGGTAGTGAACGTGAAAGGTGTGGTCTAAGTGGGTCCTACATCACACGGTCAAGAAGGCAAATGATGGGATAGACAGCAGTGGAGATGCCTGGGAAAATGCACTTTGATCAAATGTGTGAAAAGTATAAAAAAGAATGGTCATCTTTATTCATTCAGTCTCTTGAGCCTGTATTTAGTGACTCATAGCAAGAATGATGGATGCCAAAGTATTTCTCTTAAGATAATTTTTATAAGGCAGAATTTGAAGGCTCTTGATATTTTCTAGGTACTAAGGGCAAATTTTAAAATAAAACTTATCGCTAACTATAGAGAATGCTACCTTGATAGCATCTGTCAAATCTTGGCTTGTAATTGGGTTTTTATCAATAATAGCAAAGCTTTGTCATTCCAGCCCATGCCCAGGTGAGCCACAGGAGAATTTTCATATTTTATATATTCAGAGTCTATTTAAATGTGCCTAACTCTTTATTGTAAAAATCTCTTGAACAGTTCAAAAGACAGACCGTGTCTAATGCTGGCCAAACGTTTTATTACATTAGCTCCAGAGTCTAAGAGAAACATCTCTTATCCTTATAATCCAGCTATTGTGTGGTCTGTGGATCACATTTTAATGGTCTTTGTGGATTTCATCTCATCCCAAAACCCACCGATTCATCCAAATTTTTCCCTCTCTGCCTTCCTACTCCTACTCAAGCCAAGATTTCATGGTCTCCATTTCAACATCTCTTTTCTTGGAAATGTCTCTCACGTCTACTTTGCAGTGGGCAGCTGGAGAGGACTGGTCTCTGCTGCTTTGAGGCATTCATAGTTTGCGAAGGTGCCAGCTCCTCTGGGAACATTGAATGGAGATTCCCTCTAATCTTATTCTGACCTCTGCCCAACACTGCTTGTTTCTTCCTCAAACCTATAAGTGCCACTGAGAGCAGCTTCACTTGGCTTCTCCCTACACTCCTAGAGAATGGCCCCAGCCAGTTACTTGTCTTTCTCACCAGCCCAAAGATCAACAGTCTTCCTCAAGACCATTTTGTTTTGTTATTATTTTATTATTTAAGGAATGATGGTAGATGGGAGAATTGAAGACAAAGAAGGGGAAGTGCAAAATGGGAGGAGCAGGACTCAGGAGCAAATCAAGAGTCATATCATGTGGAAGGGAGCAGTAGATAAATGGCCGAGAAAGCTTCAAGGATCCAACTTTCTGAGTCCACATATCTCTAAATGAGATACTTAGACTATATGCTGATATCCCTTTAGCAACATAGAAAAACTTAACTGGAGGCAGATCGGTCTTTGAAGAAAGAGGCTACCTATACTATGTCTGGTGTAGGAGGTCCCCTTCTTACAACATATGTCATAGTACATGATCAGAGAAATGCGGAACCGTGTACTGAAGAAGTGATGGTGTTGGAGACAGAATAGTCTTTCCTGGTTCTCATAAGAGAGAAGCACATGGACATAGATGATAGATATATCACAAGAGGTGTTCCAGTTTTTTTCCATTTGTTAGATTTGAAATATTGGGATTTTATCTAGTGTCTGATGTCAAAAGTCTACACTCTGAAATGATCCAAAAATCTGACTTCCTTGAGCAACGGTATCATGCATTGGAATGTTTGGGCTTGCACATCTTTGGGGATGGGTTGTCCATGGGGGTGTGAGCACCACGTGTATGTAAGTAAACCAGTGTGCATGCTCAATGAGCAGATGGGTATGGGTTGGCCTCAGAATAGAGCTCTGCAGTTGAAAAGTATGCTCAAGAGCAAGGAGATCCTTGAGTAGTTGTGCTCACCTAAGACAAGAGCAAAACAGATTCATGAGTGGTACTCTAAGAGAATGGTGTTCTTAGAGGAAGGGCAGCTCCCATAGCTGTTAGTCTTCAGATAGGATAGAAAAATAACAGTCTCTTGTAATTAAAGCCTAGTTGGGAAGAATACCAAGATGTGAATGATTCCTTGTCCATGTGCAATTGTATTGAATGGCATCTAGACTGTAAATATGAAGTTTTACCAAAGTCACTGGATGGATTCTATTTTGTGGATTCATAGGAGCAGAAATCAAATTTGCAAGCTTTCACATTTAAGACAAGTGAGAAAGTAACAATTTGAAATAGTGTTGTGGGGCAGACATAATGATACACGTTAATTGTTTGACTCAACTTTTTAAATGAAGTTAGAATAATTTAGGTTATCTAAATTTTATGTCGTCTATAATGACTTTCCTTTGGGCACATGTGACTGGGAAAGTTAATTCTTAATATCTATATATCTGACCAAGATTATTTGTTAGTTTTTTAAAATTTCTTTTGTGAAATATATTTTGGTTATGGCATAAAAATGTAAGATAATCAAGTTTGCTGGAAAATCTTAAAACTTTTTATAATTTCCTCAGAACTCAACACTCTTCTTCTTCTCACCACCCCACCCTCTTGATTTGGGGATCTAAGATATACTTTACACAAACTGTCCACAAAATAATTGTAATATTGCCCAACTATGGTGGACCTCAGATGTATTATATTGCCTGTATGTATATATATTATCTGCATGTGTTGCGACCTTTGGGAATCAAATCAGAGCTTGGTTTCCATTGTTGGCCTTCACTGTTTTTTTATTCATATTTT